AAGAAGAAGAAGAAGAAGAAGAAGAAGAAGAAGAAGAAGAAGAAGAAGAAGAAGAAGAAGAAGAAGAAGAAGAAGAAGAAGAAGAAGAAGAAGAAGAAGAAGAAGAAGAAGAAGAAGAAGAAGAAGAAGAAGAAGAAGAAGAAGAAGAAGAAGAAGAAGAAGAAGAAGAAGAAAGAAGAAAAAAAATAGCTTCTCATCCAAAAAGCTTCATCAGTCGGGACTGAATGGGGGGGAGGAGAATGGAAGGATTGTATTTCTTTGCAGTCATCTGGTCATTAGTACTCTCTCTGAGAGCTGTTGAGGTCCTACCTGTGAACTGCAGTGTGCCAGCCAGCAGTGATGATTAAGTTGATAGCTAAGTCTACTGGGATAATATCAGCTGTTGCCGCCAGATTGCATTTTACAGACCGTAAAATCCCTTTTGCAGCCTAGAAATAAAGCAATTAATTAACCTATATCACTTGACTCCCTTATTTAGCATAGAATTTATGTAGTCCAGAACAACTAGATACAAGGACAATTATCTATTTCCTAATCCACTTACGACTATAACTTTGTTGCTTGTATCTTACGATTTATATTATCTTATTTAGTATCCTAGAATGATTTATGTTGATGGATTATTTGAATATTCTAGGACAGTGATGGCAAACCGTTTAGAGACCCAGTGCCCAAACTGCAACCCAAAGCCCACTTATTTATCACCGGGTACCAGGTGGGCGTGGCCCCTGGGTAGGCAGGGCTGTGGTGGTCATGGCAGATTGGGTGGGTGTGGTCAAGGTGGGCATGGCCACCTCAATGTTTCTCATGGGGAGGGATGCCTGTGGGGGGTCGGGAGGGTTGGGGGACATCCAGGGGGTCTCTGGCAGGTGGGGCGGTAGGCAGGAGGCTCGTCCTGCGGGGTGAGGTGAGGCAGGGCGAGGGTGCCATTGCCATGGGGCAAGACAAGGATCGGGGTGGCTGCTGCCTGACACCATTGGCCCCCGCACACAGGGGCCAGCGAACACATGGGGGCCGAAGTGTCCGTCAGCAGCCACAGCCTGCTGGCCCCTCAACTGGTGCACTCTGGGGCTCCACAGCCCGTCGCCAGCAATTCAAAGAAGCCGCCTCTGAGCTGGATGGATGGCCAACAGTTGAGGAGGTAATGCAATGGGTCGTGCCCAGAAAAGGAGAGCATGCAAGGCCAGGAGGGATGGGGTGGGGAAGAGGGAAACCTGCTGTGCCGGGATGCATCCGGCCACGTGGGACCTCGGCGAGTTAGCAGGCGGCTGGTTGAAGAGGGACAGTTGCCATCTCCGGGGCATGGTGCATGTGCTCACAGAGAGGGTTCTGAGTGCCGCCTCTGGCACCCGTGCCATAGATTCGCCACCACTGTTCTATGACTATCACTAAGTGTTGTATCTTGTGGTTTATGATGAAGGTATTTTTACGATGACTATGATCATGATTTATCACCTATAGCTTTATGTACACGGAGAGCTTCTGCACCGGAGACAAATTCCTTGTATGTCCAATCACACTGGGCCAATAAAGAATTCTATATTCTATATAGTCCAAGATTTGAATTCTGTAACAGCTGAAGGGGATAAGATAAGTTCTCCTGAACTGAATTGGGAAGAAAACCTCTGCCCACCCCAGAATCTGGCCTTCCACTGCTGTGATGTGAGCATTGTGGTGCCTTCCTGTCACAATTGTCAGGAAAGCCGAAAGCTCTTGAACTTGCTCGGAATGTGTCACGCTGCTTCTTGATCAGCCTGGACTTTGCTCTGCCCTGATCTCTTCAGCTGGACTTCACACTTTGTCTTTTCCCCTGAGTCTGAGAAGACCCACGTCCTATTTTCATCTTTACCTACCGCAACCAGGAGGCCACTTACGCCGTTGAAGTTGTCAACCCAGCCCTGAGAAACAAAACATAGGAGAACAATTGTTGTGAAGCATGAGGCATGTGTTACGTTAAGATTATGCACAGCTTATTTTTGGCTGGCTAACGGGGTCAGACATCCTCAAGGCTGAAAATTGAGTCTCTCATGCAGAATTTTGCTGTTCAGAGATTGATTGAGCAAATAGCACTAGGACTTACATTTATCTACCACTTCACAGTGCTTTACAGCTCTCTCTAAGCGGTTTACAGAGTCAGCCTATTGCCCCCCAACAATCTGGGTCCTCATTTTACCGACCTCGGAAGGATGGAAGGCTGAGTCAACCGTGAACCTGTCAGGATCAAACTGCCGGCAGCCAGGAGTCAGCACAATTAGCCTGCAGACTCAAAAACAGCAACTTTGAGAGGGACCTTGGAGTCCTAGTGGACGATCACTTGACCATGAGCCAGCAATGTGCAGCAGCAGGCAAAAAAAGCTAATGCAACCCTGGGTTGCATAAACAGAGGCATTGAATCAAGATCACGTGAAGTATTATTACCGCTTTATAAAACCCTAGTGAGACCACACCTGGAATACTGCAGCCAATTTTGGTCACCATATCACAAAAATGATGTTGAGAGCTTGGAAAAAATTCAGAGAAGAGCAACTAAGATGATCCAAGGCCTGGAGATCAAAACATATGAAGAACAGCTGCAGGACCTGGGTTTGGCTAGTCTAAAACAAAGAAGAAATAGGGGAGACATGATAGCAGTGTTCCAGTATTTGAGGGGCTGCCACAATGAAGAGGGGGTCATGTTATTCACCAGAGCACCAGAGGGAAGGACGAGAAACAACGGTTGGAAACTAATCAAGGAGAGAAGCAACCTAGAATTAAGGAGAAACTTCCTAACAGTGAGGACAATTAACCAGTGGAACAGCTGGCCTCCAGAAATCGTGGGTGCTCCCTCACTAGATGTTTTTAAGAAGAAACTAGACAGTCACTTGTCTGAGATGGCATAGGTTCTCCTGCTTGAGCAGGGGCTGGACTAAAACACCTGCAAGGTCCATTCCAGCTCTATTCTATTCTATTCTATTCTATTCTATTCTATTCTATTCTACTGCACTCCAGCCACTGTGCCAGCACGGCTCTTATGTTACAAATGTTACAAACAAGATACTAATGCTTTTTAAGAGCTAGCAAACAAGAAAGTATGTAAAACGGTGGTAACACGAAGACATGAACCCTGCCCGAACTTTGAAAACTAATACGGAGGATACCCGTTTTGTTTCTCCTGGAATTTTGATCAAGAGACACAAATCTCAAGCTAGGTGTATCTCCTGTGGAACAGAAAAGAAAAAAAGACAGACCCTTCTTGACCAAAACCTGAATTTCGCAGACATTCGTTCTGTTTGTCCAGAACTCTCCATACAAATTGTACGGAGAGACTGTTGATAGTCAGACTGGAAGATGGGAGAGTTATTTTCCCCTGCTTTTCTGGGTGAGGCTGCTGGGTCTTACACAAGAATGTGTGGGAAGCCTATTGGTCAAAGGAACTGGTTTCCTAGACCTGAATTGTTATGGCATGTTTGGTTCTTGTTGCATACTAATCAACAAGTATTAATTAATAATCTTTTAGGCTGAGTGGCTGTGAAGCACGTGAAAGGAAAAAGGCCGACATGACTGGGCGTCACTGTGGCTTTAGCCATAAACTGCAAGAAGAAATGGTTTCCTATTACCTTCTCTTCTGCATTTACTATTCACATAATCGGCCACGTTTCTACTTAAAAGAGTCCTTGAGGCACCCAACCCAATACTGTAGATCATTCTGAGAAATCTCGGTGTAGTTTGGGGAGTATAGTTTGAGAGATGCTCAATATGTAGCCCCAGATGTGAGTTTCCATAAAGGGATGTTCTATTGTTGTAATGAATTTGAAGGGCTCGACTCTAAACAAGGGATTTGATCGTGTTTAGACCTGTGCCTCTTTGTGTTGTTTGTCTGTTTTTCAATGTTGTTTATCTGTTTTTCAACATCATTTATCTGTTTTTTTAATTTTCAATGTGTTGTTTGTCTGCTTTTCAACATCGTTTGTCTGTTTTTTTAATGTTTCAGTGTGTTGTTTGTCTGTTTTTCAACGTCGTTTGTCTGTTTTTCAATGTTTCAATGTGTTGTTTGTCTGTTTTTCAACGTTGTTTGTCTGTTTTTCAATGTTTCAATGTGTTTGTCTGTTTTTCAACGTTTGTCTGTTTTTTAATGTTTCAATGTGTTGTTTGTTTTTCAACGTTTATCTGTTTTTTAATGTTTCAATGTGTCGTTTGTTTTTCAACATTTCAATGCGTTTGTCTGTTTTTCAACGTCATTTGTCTGTTTTTCAATGTTTCAATGTGTTTGTCTGTTTTTCAACGTCATTTGTCTGTTTTTCAATGTTTCAATGTGTTTGTCTGTTTTTCAACGTTTGTCTGTTTTTTAATGTTTCAATGTGTCGTTTTTTTTCAACGTTTCAATGTTGTTTGTCTGGTTTTCAATGTTTCAATGTGTTGTTTGTCTGTTTTTCAACATCATTTGTCTGTTTTTTAATGTTTCAATGTGTTGTCTGTCTGTTTTTCAATGTCATTTGTCTGTTTTTCAATGTTTCAATGTGTCCATAAAATTAATTTAACCCTTCAGAGTGAAGTCCACCTGGCTGACATTTTCTTGGATCCGTGTAACCTCATGGCCTCCTGACCATGAGATTCCATGATAGATTCTCATCCATGAACCCAGGTTCAATTCATAATGGCTTCCCTCTTTTCTTCCAAAAGCATGAGAAGGGCATTCTTATTTAGATCCATTAGGGAATGGGTCTAAATCAACCCTTTTACTACATGTTGGATGAGAACCAAGCCCTAGAATAAGAAGCATACTTACTGGGAAGGGCTCCTGCCAGCTAGCTCCCACGATGGAAGGTCTGATGATGGCAACATTTAAGTCTCCTTTCTCCTGCTGGATCAGATGCTCAGTTAGAGCTTTGGAGAAGGTGTAGGTGTTAGGCCAGTCCCCAATCAAATTGGGGGTGATCGCTTCAATGAGGGACTCATCCATCCACCTAACAGATTTTTAAAAAAAATAAAAACAAAAGATATCCATGGAGGAAATTAAACTTGAACCATAGTCCTCATATATTTTCATATGCATGTCCTTGGAAAAGTTAAAGTTTTATGTACATGGCAGGTCTTCCTAAAACATCCTTCCTTCCTTCCTTCCTTCCATCCATACAACTATCCATCCATCCTTTCATCCTTCTGCATGAGTCTCGCCCATCTCATCATTGTTTACCAAGAGGAAAACAGAACATTGGTTCAAAAAAGATTGCAAAATAGATTCTTCCCGCAGTGCATCTACTCTACACAAGCCTTGCACACTCCTGGAATGTGCCACCAATCCTTTCTCTCACTTGGAAGGAAGTTGCATTGGACGAGACAACATGGATCCCTTCCAACATGCTTGCAAATACATCGCAAAGGAGGGAGGGTTGTTTCCATTACTTACGCCATCATGTCCAAAAGCTTCTTTGGCTCCACAGGGACAGGATAGAAGACCTCCTCTATGTGTCTCCGGTTACAGTTTGAGTAGGCCGTGGAAACATGGATGAGGGCTTCAAGGTTCTTCATCTGGTGGGCCAGCCTGAGGAGCTGCTGGGTGCCCAAGACGTTCAGGAGAAGGGCATCTCTGCTCGAGGAAGCACAAAAAGCTAGGATGAGGTCCAGCTGGTGTGGGAGCAGGTCCAAACCAATCCTTTTGGGTCTCCCAAGAGCTACCTCAGGACCTTCAGGACATCTTGATGGAAAGATGTCTCATGTAGGGTGGAGAAGACCACAGGTTGTAGTCTACATCACCTTATGAGAGGTCTCTGCTAGTAGAATCAGAAATGACCATCACTTGGTTGAATTTACAAATTAGTTGACAAGTAGAACTGGAAATGACCATCACTTGGTTGAATTTACAAATTAGTTGACAAATAAACATCACAGCATCGCCAACAGTGGAGACCAAACTCCACCCAGTTCCTGGTCCATTTGCTTTTTGACAATGGGAGAATCAGAGCTTCTCTCCTTGTTCCTAAAGAACATATCTTTTATTTCTATTTATTTGGAGGCTGCCTATGGGCAAAACTGGAATTAAAGCCCTTTGAACTTCCAGCATTGTGTCCATTCATTTAAGTAGGTTCAAAGAACTGAAGAATAAAATATCGGCAATGTCCTTTTTTTCATGTTCTCTAAAGGGTATCAGATCAAATCCGTTTTCAGATGAAACGTTGCTCTATATTTTTTTTCTTTAAAAAACAAAAATGTCTTGGGAAAGAATCTGAGGGTTGACGCAAAGCAGCAATAGGCAAACAGTGGCCAGCAAATTCCACGTTGTAATAGTACTAATTTCCCAAGAAACCAGCTGTCTCATTTTTGGCAGAATATTTTTTTTAAAAAAAATAAAATCAAAGAATTTGGTTGGAAAGAAAGTGGGAATTTTTCCATTCCCAGGTTCCAAACCTTATCCAGATGCCTGGAACAGTTTCAAATCAGATTTTGCCAAAACCAGGCCACCCTGTTGCCAAATTTTGCCAACATAATATCAGAGAACTTCAATGCTAAGCTTTAAAAGGATGGAAATGGATTTGGTTTGCCTCCCAAGTGCTCCTGCTCCACTTCCCATTACTTAGATGGGAAATAGCGTCTTTCCTTAAAACCCCCACGAAACCAATAAGCCCAAAAAATATTTTTAGGGGACAGTCCCTATCATTTCAGAAAACACACTTAAGTAACCTAGTACTTTCTTTTTTAATGATATGAGAAATATAAAAATGTTGGGATGATTTATACAAGGGAAATGTTTTAGATACTCAAATGTAATGGATTTTGAGAGATTTCAATTAATAAGAATGTTCTGAATAGCTCTAAAAGATTAGCTGTGGATTTATTAGATGGAATACTTAAAGATTAAATATTGGTTTGAATAGGGTTAAAAAGAATAGAAAAAAATTGGATATAGATGTATTTTAGCTTAATAGGGACATGTTTTTCAAGTAGTATATTATTTACTTCTTTTTTTCTTCTTTTTCTTTTTTTTTGTTTTAAGATATGAGAAATGTAAAATGGTTGGGATGGTTTGTATGAGGAAAAAGACTTAAATACTTAAGCGTAATTAACTCTAAGAAAATCTTAACAGATAAAAATGTTTTCGAACATTGTGGGGAAAATAAATTTAAATAAGAACTTTAAAAACAGGATATATGATAAGGTGATTAAGATGATTACTCAGAAAAGAAACTTCACATTGATGTGGTTGTTACTTATAGAAATACTAGAAAAATGTTTATATTCAATTGTTCATCTATTAAAATAGTAGAAGGGCCCTTTGCAACTTTGTTGTTCTATTCTATTCTGCTCTGCTCTACTCTACTCTACTCTGCTCTACTCTACTCTACTCTACTCTACTCTACTCTATTCTATTCTATTCTATTCTATTCTTCATTCCATTATTCTATTCTATTCTACTCTACTCTACTCTACTCTACTCTACTCTACTCTACTCTACTCTACTCTACTCTACTCTACTCTATTCTATTCTCGATTGGGGCTGGATGGCAAGAAACCCAAGGAGAGAGCATGGAGAACTTACTTCAGGGGCTCATCAAATCGAACCGTTGCAGCACAATGGAAGATCACGTTGACCTCAGAAATCAGCTCCTCCAGGTCTTCAGAAGAGATGGCCAGATTTGGCTTGGTGAACTCAGCACTGATGGGCTTAACCTTCTCATGGAAACGGGGCCATTCTTCACGGACTCTGTCAAACACCTGGAGTTCAAGAGACAATATTCACTTTGAAAAGAAGAAGAAAAAATGATCCAGGTTCCTAAGCTGATAGAGCCAAAATGACTGTTGGGCAGACTTTTCAAAAAATTAAAAATTCCATTCCATTCCATTCCACTATTCTATTCTATTCTATTCTATTCTATTCTATTCTANTCTATTCTATTCTACTCTACTCTATTCTATTCTATTCTATTCTACTCCACTCTACTCCACTCCATTCCATTCTATTCTATTCTATTCTATTCTATTCCATAATATTCTATTCTATTCTATTCTATTCTATTCTATTCTATTCTATTCTATTCTATTCTATTCTATTCTATTCCATTCCATTCCATTCCATTCCATTCCATTCCTATTCTGTTTCATTCCCATTCTTTATTCTATTCTATTCTATTCTATTCTATTCTATTCCATTCCATTCCATTTTATTCCATTCCATTCCATTCCTATTCTGTTTCATTCCCATTCTTTATTCTATTCTATTCTTATTCTATTCTATTCTATTCTATTCTATTCTATTCTATTCTATTCTACTCTACTCTATTCTATTCTATTCTATTCTACTCCACTCTACTCCACTCCATTCCATTCCATTCCATTCCATTCCATTCCATTCCATTCCATTCTATTCTATTCTATTCTATTCTATTCTATTCCATAATATTCTATTCTATTCTATTCCATTCCATTCCATTCCATTCCTATTCTGTTTCATTCCCATTCTTTATTCTATTCTATTCTATTCTATTCTATTCTATTTTATTCTATTCTATTCCATTCCATTCCATTTTATTCCATTCCATTCCATTCCTATTCTGTTTCATTCCCATTCTTTATTCTATTCTATTCTTATTCTATTCTATTCTATTCTATTCTATTCTATTCTATTCTATTCTATTCTATTCTATTCTATTCCATTCCATTCCATTCCATTCCTATTCTGTTTCATTCCCATTCTTTATTCTATTCTATTCTATTCTATTCTATTCTATTCTATTCTATTCTATTCTATTCTATTCTATTCTTATTAATGTTGTAATTAGTTAGGTGCTTTTTATTTTCTTTGTGACTGTGGACTTGATTAAGGTGGCCTAGAAATGTGTGTAAGTAATAAAATGCACAAATCTCATATTTGTCTCTCTGGGATTAAGACCACATATGCTTCCTCACCACAGCAGCGAACCTATGGCACAACTCTACCAGCTGCTCCTAGTTTCTCTCCACCTTTGTGTTCCCTACCTTGCATTTCAGCAGATGCTCCACTCGAGTCTGCATGGAACGTCCACCTTTCGGTCTCACACACACGTAGATGGTTTTCACATCGTGGCAGGAACGGAGAAGCTTCTCGACCAGGACTTTGCCCATAAATCCCGTGGCTCCTGTAACGAGGACCGACTTCCCACTGTAGTAAGCGCCAACCAAAGACGTGGTGTCCTTCATTTCCAAGCTCTTGGTGGCAGGATCTGGCAGGAAGGCACATCAAAGCACACAGTTCAGTCTTCAAAGCTTATGGGACAACCTTTGAAACGGTCCTACGGTCTGTAGCCCGTCGGTAGTCCGCTAAATCGTGTCTCTTCTGACTGCAAAAGTAAGGGCTGGCCCTTTGAGGCATAACTTGTGTTTATCAAAGATGCTTAACCCTTTTGAACATGCCCACCTGTTTAAGCAGAGAGTCCTACCAAGAAGTAGTCCATCCTTCTTGTGTGAATGTAAGAGTCGGAAAATTGAAACCTTCACGTTCCCAGAAGTACTTGCCTATATGTAATATATGGACACCATCATAAATTAATACATAGCCGTGTTCCAGTATTTGGGGGGCTGCCACAAGGCAGAAGGGGGCTAGATTGCTCACCAAAGCACCAGATGGAAGGACGAGAAGCAACGGATAGAAACTAAGCAAGGAGAGAAGCACCCTGGAATTAAGGAGAAACTTCCTGATGGTGAGGACAGTCAACCAGTGGAACATCTTGCCTCCAGAAGTTGTGGATGCTCCATCACTGGAGGCTTTTAAGAAGAGACTGGACAGTCACTTGTCTGAAACAGTATAAGTTCTCCTGCTTGAGCAGGGGGCTGGACTAGAAGACCTCCAAGGACCCTTCCATCTCTATTCTATTTTAATATATCTCGGAGATCAAAGTTACTTTAATCTCATACCAGTATTATAGATAGATTAGAAGCAAACCAAACCTAGGTATAAATTTAGATCAACTTGGTGCTCTCCCAATGCCTGGCTTGATCAAGATAGACTTCCACATCAACATTGGGTTTCTACAGATTGAGGTAGCCCTAGGGTTAGCTCTAACCAGTGGTGGGATTCAGTTGGTTCACACCACTTTGGCAGAACCGGTAGCTAATTCTTTGTTGCCCAGGCACAGAATGGATTTCTGGAAGCGGCATCCACACAGAGAACCAGCTGTTCCCATATCTGAATCCCAGCATTGGCTCTAATCTTAACCGTAACCCCACCATTCAACTGTGAGTTACAAATATTCTCTTTAAGCCCTCTTCATTTAACAGATTCCATATTTCTCATTGTACGTTGCCACTACGCATTCATCAAATAATGGCCAGAACGTTTCATCAAGTGATACTCCACTGAGCTAAGGCTGCCCCAATTACTAACTTGAAACTACAGCTCAGCATGCTTTCAGTGGTGGACTTCCTAAATACTTTATACTTGTTAAATGGCCCGTGTGTATGTATGTATGTATGTATGTATGTATATACCCTGCGTAATTCCATATTAAAACAGTGAAAAACACACGAGCACCAGGGAATGTGGTAAAAAATTTGGTTTAATGTTAAAATTACTAAAACTACTAATAAAACCAATTAAAACGCCTAGCTTTCGTCAGCTATCTGCTGACGTCCTCAGGGCTCAAAATGTCAGTCCATGGGAGTTGCTTTTATAACTTGACTAGCGTGTGCGCA